ACAACTTGATCCGCTAGCTTCAGATCAATCTTACCCTCTGATTGGTTTATAGTACGATCATACAACTCAAGATGCTCATTGGCGGCAATTGCTTCTATGATCCTCTTGATACCAGTGGTTGTTGAGAAACTAGTTGAGCCACCGACAACAGTGTCTATAAGTTGTTTTGTCTTGAGTCGTAATCCATTCACAAAGTTCTGCATCTGCTCAGTGGCATCCATGTTATGAGTAGGACACGCCGTCAGACACCTCTTAAACCTCTTATATGCATCTCCTAGAGATTCCCCTTCTTTTTGATTGAAATTGACAATGTCATATCTTTTTCGAATAAACACTGAAGCAGGAAAATACTCGTTAAGGAATGCAGTTTCCATCTCTCTCCATGTGGTGATACTCCCATCTGGAAGTGAATATAACCATTCTTCTGCATCATCAGTCAGTGTGAACGAAAACATAACAAGTGTCTTGGCCTCTTCTGAATGACCTTCTATCTTCAAAGATGTGGTAGGCGTTAGGAATCTTTGTAGATGCTTGTTTGCATCTTCGTTGATTCTTCCAGAGAAAGGCTTGTTCTTCAACTAGCGAATGGTGGAAGGATGTAGCTGAAAGTGTGCCACATTCAACGGTTGATTCACGATGGTCATCCGGTTTGGTTGAGCATTGGCCCCTCCATAGTCTCCCAAAAGTCTTTCAGCTGGAGGTGGTTCTCCTTTCATGATGAAAGTTTCGGGATCTGTTTTTGTGCCCGAATCTATATGGTCAGACAGAATCACAATTTCTTCTTCATTTTCTGCGATCTATGTTCCTGCGTTTGAAGCTGTCAGTGTTTCAAGCTTAGCTTTTCTGCGTCTGACGTGCAATAATCTTTCGGATTTTGAGTCAACAAAAAATAAAGCTAAGGTCTTACCTTGCATACACAGGTTAGAAGATTATTAGCAATAACAAAGATATAATAATATAAATAAAAATAAAAACTGAAAATAAAATTTTGGTCGCAGAGCAACAAAGTTTTAATTGAATTATAATCAAACTTATATTCTGGCAGTCCCCGGCAACGGCGCCAAAAACTTGACCGGAAAATAGCAAGTGTATTATTTTTACCGATGTAGTAATAAGGGGAAATTCCCCGAATATCGATCTCGCGGACTGCGTATGAACAAAAGCTCTATAATAATGCAATTGAACAAAAAGTCATAGGATTTTGGTTTGTTTCTTTAGAATTATAAAGGCCAGAAGGCAAAAACAGTAAAATAAATGTTTTAAACAGTTACAAGAAGCATGCTAGGGTAGGGTGTATGAAAAGCCTTGTAATAACCTTAATCCTAAATTTTCAGAAATCACTGCTCAATTCAATCGTTACCGGTTTTAAAGATTAGTTGACTCTAATTCCTTAGCAGAAAACCCTTTGGTATTCTCTCTAAGCCCCAATTCCTTGGGGTTATAGGAACAATACCAAGCAATACATTTTATCTAAAACATTACGGTTACTATAGGGTATCCCCATTCCTAGGTAATATCTACTATAGTATTATCGTATAAACGCGTTAATAATCGTTTTTTCAAACATAAGGTTAACCGTAAATTGGATCCCTATTTGTCAAATAAGAAAAGCTTTATGAAAATTATACAATAACAACGATGATTAGACAGCAGTGAAATCAATTATTCAAAGGAAACAAGGTCATTACAGAGTCAATTCAGGGACACCCCCTAGCATTAGGGGAGTTTAGCTACTCATAATAATACAGATAAAAATAACAATAAGACTAAACATTACAAAATAATTGGTTGCTTTGATCTTCAATCGCTTCCGCTCATGAGGACCTTCAGTTTTCCAAATCCTTGATCGCTTAATATTTATCGTGAAATTCTTTTCTGTCCAAAAGCCCCTCTCTCAATCCACGATGCGTCTAATATATTGGAATTCAAATTACACTACGAGATGCCTAAACTGCCCTCCGATATAGCATAGTCAGCATAAAACAAAAATAAAATAGAAAATTTTCACTTTCAGTAGCCCTAACACGGGCAGTGTCATGAGACACGGGCACCCGTGTCAGGCTGCTGACTCTTGGGTAGCGCTTTTTTTTCTTCTTCATGGGACACGGACACCCGTTTCAGGCTGCTGTTCTTTTTTTTCAAGGGCCCTAACACGGGCCGTGTCATGGGACACGGGCACCCGTGTCAGACTGCTGACATGCCTAGAATACTCTTCCGAATTCTTGCCATTTTTCCCGATTTTCGCTCTGATTCTCCTTTATTGTTTACCTGAACCTAGAAACAGTGAAAATACAAAATCGACGCGTAAAATGTAATAAAAACAAATAAAATGCGATAAGACATAACAATTGATTAATTGAAACAAACGGTAAAATAACGTGTAAAAACCACCGATCTCATGTATGGATACAATGCAAGATGCAAGAATCAAGGATCACAGTTTCCATCAATTATGAGGTTGGTCAGGGTAACTGGTCAATAACCAAAGTCTCTGATCAAAGAAGCCCCACATGTGGATTCTAAAACGGGTAGGTTCCTAGAGTCATGGATTCCTTTGAAAGACATTATAGCCATGACGAAGCCTCATCAGACGATAATATCCTTGAAATAATCTCCTCTACGTGAGATTTTCGTATCTTCCCCACTAGAAAGACTACTCGGAGGCTTCAACAATATAACCATCGACACACAAATTCTAAGAAGGTATCTCAGAGTCATAGATCGAGGTTGAAAATATTACTGTCAGAAAGTAATATGTTCAACGGGTCTCATCTGATTAGGGCTTTCTTATTAACCCAATAAGGAGTTAACACTAACAACCACCATGGATTGAACGGGTTAATGGTCTTTGGAGTCGACGATTCAGGCTTGAAAACATTATCATCGTGATGAAGGAACATCAAAACAATAACATTTCCAAGAGAATCTACTCCAATATCGGTCTCACGCGGAAGATGCCACGCAAGTCTATAACACAACCACCATCCTAATCTTATGGTTTTACTCAGACTCGGGTATAGAGTCATCTCACAAAGTACCCAAAATCAGATAATCACAACAGTGTCACAATAAGCAATGGTAACAAAGATAAGAATAGGTAAGCTAATAAACAAATAAACAAGAAGAAAACAAATAAGCGAAGTTAACGAGCATCACAAATCAGACTAAGTTAGATTTGACTCTCTCTTGCATGAAGCAATGTGATCCTCAGGAGAGTCGCCAGCTGTCACACCTTGAAAAAATCCAAAATACGACCCTCACGCAAAATGCGCGGAAAAAATAGTTTGACAGAGTTGTCATCGAACTTTATTTATCCCAAAGAAGGAAAGGAAAATATCAAAAAAACCTTTAAGAGATAAGAACATGGTCATTGCAACCACATTATGGGTTCGAGACTCGGGTTTTCTTTCCGTCACAGACAATTTTAAAAATATAAAAATTGGGGGATGTCAAGTATAATTTGAGATATTAGGTATTGTTTTAGACTGGGTCGTCCGTCAATTGGGCAGGCCCAACCCAATACTATGCTGATGAGGCCCAACAAGATCCAACCCTTCTCTGTTGGACACGAGCTTTAACAAGGCACATGCGTCGGTGGAGAACTCTCTTGACGGGGAAGTCTACACGTTTTCTCCACGTCTTCACGTGCCCCCCACGTGGGGACACGTCATTAGGCAACTACTCACCTCCGAAAGAGTTGGTCAGCCCACCTTCTGAAGATCACGGGGCAGTTGATCCAGGGCGAAGACCACGTGCTGGTCTTCACTACGCCACATAAGCGCTAACAGTTACTTGGGTTGGGCCTGACAGTCTGACCCAATACAATGTAATCATTAACTCTGCGTTGGGGACACACTATAAATACTCTCTTTCAATAAAGAGTCAGGTATATTATTCTCCACACCTATTCATTGTACTTACTCTTTCTAAGCTTCGTTACTCAATTTAAACACCTGAGTACCTTACAGGTACACCCCCTCCTCCTCCACAACACCGACGAAAATAGCAACTCGTGACGCGTGGCAGACTACTAATCCCTTTCTAGTCAGGTCAGATCAGGTATAATTTAGAAGGTGACAGATCAAATTCTTGAAAACCTATGAAGGTATCTCAAAGAGTTCAAAGAAGATGAAAGTTGTAACACCCGAAATATGTGTTGCCCCATACTCTAATACAAGTGGTAATTGACAATGAAGAATCTAAATACCGTGATTAATTAGGTTGATGTATCACCTTAGTTGATGTTGTAATACAAGAATTTAATTTTCTAGGAAAAGAGTTTAGTGAGCAATTTATCAAATGGTTGGAAAATAACTGAAAAACTTGATATAAGATATATCACTATCAACATTGAGTTGCTTGTTTGTGTAACACACTTAAATCCAAGAGAATCCAATACTCAATCACCTTCGATTTAAACTCACCATTTGTTAAATGCTACGTTTTTTGCTTTGTGAATAGCACCTTATGTAATACAATATTTGTTAAATGCTACGTTTTTTGCTTTGTGAATAGCACCTTATGTAATACAATACTAATACATAAACATTATGTGTATGGCCGCGCACGTGTTTATATATATATATATATATATATATATATATATATATATATATATATATATATATATATATATGGGCGCGCACGCCATAAAAGGTACAGATTAAGCTTAATACTCCATTCAAATGCTACGTTTCTCTTTATTGTGAAATGAAATACATAAAAGGAAACTTCATCGCCTAATGCCTAAAATTACATTAATTTACAGATTACAATAGCATATTATTACACTTAATATATTTTAAATAAATAAAATTAAAAAAACTAGTGTACATATAAAGCCTCAATTGGAAGACCAATGAGTCAATGCTTTCTAACAGGTCTACTGCTTTCCGCATAAGGTTGTGAAAAATGAGCAGCAATATTGTTATTATCAAACCATACAGATACCTTATATATGCGGTATGCCATGGACTCACCTGGCCATTGTTTCCAAGAGTTCATTCATCATAAGTGCTCAGGGCAGTAACAACCGACCCTGTTGTTGCAAAAGTTGAGGCGACATCATGATAGTCTTTCCATGAGGTTGTCACCTTCAGAGATGGGTATAGCCAACTTTTGACCGAATCCACAAAAGAATTTGGATCCAAGTTCAAAATGGCTTCCCAATCAGCTTGGAAACCCTGTGGAATGCTTCCTGTGAACTCCATATTAGCAGCAAGTAACAAACCCAGCATAACTACAAATCCAACTGCAGCAGTTCCTCTAGATAGTGGCATAAAATTGTACCTGAAAAACCGCGTGGATTGATTTACAGAAATCATTGCAAATACTCCAAGAGACTAAAATAATTTACATATTTTGATAATGTCATACCAGTAATATGTCATCTTTAAAATTGCATCTCTCACATTTTCAAGCACATCAAAATCAGTAGATCCATAATTCTCACCACAGTAAGCATTGCAGAGAGCCTAACAAAAACAGTACCAAGCAAGGTAAGTTTCCACTTATCATCAAGGAGTTTTAGTTATAAAGAACATATATTTTACTATTCTAATGAAACGTAAAAGAATAAATACTGCCAACAAATTTCAAAATGATTCCCATGGAAGCATCAGAAACAAGCCACATAACATAAATTGGACGGATTGGGTAAATATCTATTGACTAAAAATGTTGGCATAACATACTTCCCACGCCATTGCCATTTCTGCATCATAATCTTCCCATCTGGCAGGTGTACAAGGTGTTCTAATGGCAAAGTCAAAACCATGTTGCCCCCTGAATATCCATAAATTCCCACAATTAAGTATACAGGTATGTAAGCTAAATTTAAGTAGCAAGAAATGGGAAATAGGGATCAAAATAACTTGAACTTTTACAAAACATGTATCTAGCTTACATTTTTACAAGTGTAATCCTTGTCCCTTCAAGCTGTTTCCTGTAGAAGCATTGACATCCAGAGGTAAGCATTATAAACATTTGATCCCACAGGCTATACTTTCACTATGCACGCTTAGTACTTACCCTTCAAATGCAGTACTGTTGCACCAAGAAGCCGACCAGAAATCCTCACCAACAACATTATAAAGGTCAGAGCATGACTTTGCATGCATGATCTGCACATCAAATATTTAACTTTCCAGCTTAGGAAAAAAAAACATGCTTTTCAATTTTATAAAAGCACGGAATATTGAAATGCTAACCTTCAAACTGCTATTTGAAAAGAAAAAAAATAGCATGTATCATCCAACAGGAAGCCATTATTAAAAATATGCAACAATCACAAGCAAAATGAAGAGAATCTAGGTGAATTTATTCATAAAAATGGATTTACATGTTTCCACTTCCAATAAATTAACTAAAAATTGAACATTATAACTACAAATAGCAGATTACATGTTTCATAGGTATAATCTAAAACCATTGATGCAGCTTTAGCTAACAACTTCAGTTTCTAACACAATTGGTTCTTTGCAATGAATGGAAGCATTTAATGGCAAGAGCTCTATCCATGCCTCCCCCCACTGTTCCAAAAAATCAGAGGAGTTTCAGCATACAGCCAAAACTAGCTTGTGTATTGTCAATATTTCAAGCCTGAGTCTTAAAGAGGAATGGCGATGACTCAAAAACATTTGCATCCTATCGCTTAACAGCCTATGCTTTAACAATAGTATATCTGACTCAACCCACAAGTATTCGGAAATGTTATCAATGATGCAACTTGAAAGTTTCAACTTTCAATGTTACTTGCACATCACCTAATATCTATGCAGTATTTATAAAAGAAATAATGTATATTCTTCCAGTGCAAAATTTAGTGCATCACCCAACAAAACAATATAGACGTGCATTACCCAATATGTGAAAATAAAACCAACTTTTCAAAGCTATACAAGTCAGGGTCACAAGTTAGAGGGCCCGTGCAACATAGAAACACAGAAGAAAATATATAGATCAATGAAAACAAAGCACCTCTTCTAATTTCCCATCTTTTGAAAGATGAATGATCTGATCAGTTTTTCCGTGGACATAAGATCTCTCTTTCATGACAGTCTTTGCAATTTCTAAGGTCCTGTGGCATTTAAAAAGAATGAGCATTCCAAAGCCAGTCGGCCAATATAGAATAAAAAAAGTTTCTTCACCTTTCATAGTTTGGAAAGTAACGAACAACTTTGGCTTGTCCCAGAATCATGGGTGTGTGAGAACCAAATCCAGAGTTAAACTCCTCACTGCAATGCAAAGAGACCGAATAAAAATCCAAATCAATAGCTCAATTTGATTAAAGTCCAATGTAATAATCTGAAGAGAAACTGGGAAAGTTAGCCAAATATTGCAGCAAGCAAGCAAATACTTAACATGCCTAGACCAACATAATTATCACCCTATTTTCATAAAAACAGCATAAAGAAAATTTAGTTGCCCCTCGAATTTTTCAGAATTTGAGTAAATATAATCCAATCTTCAAAAATAAAATAAAATAAAAAAGCAACCAGTTAAAGCCCAAAAAGTAGAAAACAATACAAAGGTAAAATTTACCTTTAAGTCACCCTTGCTCTAATGAATATTCATTTTTGTTCATTTTCTTTCTATTATTACTTATGCCCTACAAGTTTTCTTAGCAAGTCCAACTACACCTCTTTTATATTCCTTATTTTGCCCAAAATTGTTTGATGTCCTTAATACAAGACATCAACGTAGAGAGCTAAATAAAACCATAATACAGCCTTTGCAAAAACAAAACAATCATACAGTTTTTTATCAGCAATATAAAAATATCATGCAAATGAATAACTACAAGCATCCACAAAAGCATATAAGTTAAACTAACATATACACAACAATCACTTAAGGACTAAACTCAACAATTAGAATTTAGAATATAAGGGACAACTTATAGGTACAATATTAAGTAGAATAAATCGTGAAAAGTCTGACACTTAAGATGGTCTACCTCAACTTGTTCACCCACACAACAGGGTCACAAGGCTCAGAAATCTGTCTCCATCGAACAGCTATTGAGTAAATATCTTTCCATGACATGTGACGGCTGGAAAGTTTATCATCTATAATGCCAGATGAAGATGTTTCCAAGGCACTACTTGTACTACAACCTGCACCTCCCCTATTCTGACTAGGCATATTAAATCTTTCCCTCCTTCTAGCCCGTTTGCCATGCTTAGAGTTTGAGTTGGTTTTAGTAGAAGATTTCCATTCCGCTTGAAGGATACGCCAAATCTTAGAGACCTTTTGTGCAACTTCAATAGCAGCAAATCCTGCCATTCGATGCTGATAAATAATAAGGGGGAAAGACAAAATTAGAGACATAAAATTATTAAAGATAGAAATGTCATCAATATGAGAATAACTATGAACATTAGTTAGCTGCAAGGTGCTTAAAAATTCAAACATTAAAAACTTACAAATACTTAGAATTGAGTCTAAAGATTAAAATATTAATATGATAATGGTCTCAAATGAAAATTTAATATGAATGTGTGATTTGTGCAGTACTAGACATCATAACGTTATAAGGAGAAAAATCACACTTATAAAAAATGACTAGACATGTCAACACAACATCCCACAGACCATGACAAACCAATAAATCATGTAATCGATAAAAACTAAAAAATTCACATTATGATATATTCAAGGATCATTGGACTTCATGAAAAAGTCGGTTGGATGTAAATCAACCCCACAAAACAGGCTTGTAAAGTGAAGGATGCCCACCATTTATAAACACTATTCAGGCCATATCACCTTCCAATGTGGGACTTTCAATACACGCCTTTCTCAAACTCAAGATTGGACATCTAGAGCATGACCCAGGTGACACAATAACAGGTGGCACAATAGATATAGGATAGGCTCTGATACCATATAAGAATTCTGGATTGGGTCAAACTCATCCTTACAGAATTGTTTAATAAGATGACGGATGCCCACCACTTATGAACATTGTTAAAGCGATATCACAGTCCATGTGGGACTCTCAACAGATTCGTTAGCTGCTGCATTCCCTAGCAATTATCAAATTAATGAAGGGGGGTTTATTAATGGTCAAAAGCCTTTCTGGAGTCTATTAGGACAGAGACAAAAAGTAGAAAAAAGAAATCCGTGCACGAAGTATCTCACAGAAAACATAAGAAAAGAAAAGAGATTAGCAAGCCACAGGAAATAGACAGTAACATATAATTCACTTCACCTGACGTCTATTAGGCAGGAAACCAGGACAGTCATATTGGATTTTCTTGCCAATGGAGTCTGCAGCATGTATTAGAGAAGACTTCTGCTTTGTAAGAGTTAATTCTTGCTTTCTAAGCTTTCCCTTTCTTAAAGATTCACGCAGAGGAGGTTGCCTATAAACCTTTTCACATACATTCTTCGGGTGCAATCTTTTGCACCAGTACTCCTGAATATAAAGAAGGCACAAATAAATATCGCAAATTAGTGAATCAAGGCATTAAAAAAAAAAAGCTCCAATACAAAAGTTTCAGAATAAAAATTGCTATGCTTTTGAAACCAACAAAGAAACTCAAGTTATAAGGCAAGCAAGCAAGAGTTGTGAGTTTCTGGCATTCAGATGCCAGGGCAATGATATCATGATTTCAAATTGGTCAGTCCATGTATCCCACAACACATTAAGTCGGACCAAATTAAGAACAAACGTATCAAAGAAAGGTGAAATAAGATTCATAACCTTTACCTTAAAAAGTGGATCAATATCCCCATCAATATCAAACCAGCAAAACTCACTGTTAAACTTTGAGGCCGTGTAAAGAGCAATCTCTTTCTGCAATTGAAGAAAGTTTGAATCACATAAATGAACCAGACTCTTAATGGTAAAACATAAAAGGACAATGTTGACTGTATTACACAGATACATAGAAGTTCGAAAATAGGATTTCATAAAAGGGAGGCCCAATTCACAAGGCTTCCCCATCAAGTGGGGATTTGGGAATGTAGATGTACGCAGTCTTACCCTGGCAAGCAGAGATAGACACTGTTTTCCAAGACTTGAACATGATTTTGTCTCTTGTATGTATTTAGTGCACACATCTAAAATTTAGAAAAGCACAAAATTGACCCTTATGCACCCCTATAATTATAGGAAAATATTCAATATCCCCACTTTGTATTCTCACACAGCTCATAGCCCCTCATACATATCTTTAATCATTTGAATGTAAGTAATCTCAACTTCTTTCTTCACTAATGCCTTCCACAAAACTTATCTAGGAAATCTACCGCGTCTTTCACAAATCAATGAAAACCATGTGTAGGTCTTTCTTATTCCCTTAAAACTTCTCTATCAATCTTTGTAGCAAAGCAACCATATAGCTTCTATAAGCGATCTTTGGTATAAACCAAATTGATTTTCCGTAATGTAGGTCTCTTGGTTAATCTCTGCATTACTACTATCTTCCAAAACTTCATAGTATGACTTGCAAGTATACTTCCTCTATAATTTCATAATTTCACTTTTGCACTTCAAAATAGGGATTAAAGTATTCCTCCATTCATTTGGCATGGTCTTACCAATAGTATTACTATCACCTTATCGAACAATTTGGCGAGTCATCTTAGCCACCAATCTTACCTTCAATGCTTCTTTTACATCAGATTCTTAAACACTTCAATAATAGGAGTAACTGCAATCCTCCTTTCTAATGTTAAATCCATTGAAGTCCAAAAAATACTCATGTCCTTTATTACATTTATAAAAATACTCTACCGTCTTCCTCAAGATCTTGTTTTATGACTGATACCATTCACTCCTCATTCTTAATACATATTACTTGGTTTATGTCTCTTGGTTTTCTAATCCTACTTTTAGCGAAGTTCGTAGATATTATGTTATTAAACTCTAAGCTTAAAAAACGCAAGACATTATGGAATATACTATTTCAGTGGAACAAACCTGATAAAAGGCAAGACACTGGAGCACAAATTTATCCATCGAGTCCAATTCCAAATCCAGTGCGGCATCATAATCCTTGACCTGAGACCATCAAATAAAGTTGTTGATTAAGGAATGTAATAGCAATACTCCCAAAAGCTAAAATTAAAATCTTACCGCCTCTTTGTATTGTCCAACAGCATGGTAGCATGCAGCTCGTAAATATAAGGACTCAATGTTGGCACCATCGACGTTCAACCCCATTGTCAAATCTTTGATAGCTTTCCTGTCACAGTAAATCCCAATTTAAGTACATACTCTACAACCAGCCAAAATTTACTAGGCTGAAACCATCCTCCTAATAAGATCTAATTCAGTTATAGTGAAAAACAACGATCAATCAATGTTTCCCTCCATAACAACTCCAAAGTACCTAAAAGTAGCCTCAGCTTTTTTTTACTTCCTGAATGGTTTCAGCATATTCTATATTCTAGTTCTAAATTTTATTTTAGAACAGCACGTACGTCTATCAGCATATCAACAATACAAATGAAAGCTCGCAGCAAGAAACAGTCGGGTCAAACAAATATTCAATCTCTAACTTATCAGCAGTTATGGTTTGCATAAATACCTATGCTCTCCCATTGCATGGAACAAAAGGCCTCGCAAATGATAAGCTCTTGCAAACCTATCATCAAAACTCAAAAGTAATCAGCCTCAGATAAAGAGCTAAAGGGCACAAACTACATCAAGTGTAATAAGACCAGAGGAAACAGTGATTATGTAATTATGTAATACTGTTTCATTCACAACAATTACCTCCCGTCAATTTGCAGCACTTCAGTTAGACACTCAAAAGCTTTTGTCGGATTTGATAAATCTTGATAGAACTGCCAAAAACCTTATTTTCAGAATAAAGCTAGCAAACAGTAACCTACTAAACAAATTACGCATACGGGTAACAAAAAAATGTAGATGCTAATTAAGTTGGCATGAGATGGAAACGTCAACTCATGTTAAATGAGTATAATGTAACAGTGGCAGACAAAAAACGCCATGGATAAGATTGATGAAAAGATATTATTAGAGACCAGAGTGCATACAAGTATACAACTAACAGTTCAAACACTATCAGTTTTGCAACCACATTACATTCAGTTGTGCAATGAGCCAACACTTTATCAATGCATAAAATACAATAGTATAGTTCATAGATACCTGAGCCAGGTGTCCCCATGCTTCAAGGAAACTTCTATCAAGTTGAAGTGATTTTAGATGTGCTTCCTCAGCTTTCTTATATTCCCCAATCGAAGACAATGCCAGGCCCTGTAAAAAGACAACGTTTGCACACCATGTAAAAGAGAAGAAAAAAATACATCAAGGGCTCTGAACGAACGAGGATTTAAATATTAAGACTTAGATTAGGACCCACCAAATATGTGTAGGCAGACTTATTATCCCTGTCTAGCTGCACACAAGCAGAAAGGTCCTCGACTGCACTATTGAACTCTTTAAACTTGAAATTCACAATTCCTGTATTGAACGTTAATGAAATACATACATTAGACTAGATGCATCAAGCATATGAAGAGTACTCACTATAAAAAATAATTAGTTCAATGTTATTACCACAATTTTTTAGAATAAACTCACTAAATTAGAAATTAACTATGCGATATTAAACACGTGCAGGATAATATCAATAATAAATAGTTCAAACTCATTTCACATAAAGCCGGGGAAAGCTCTGCCTAGACTTTAAAGAGTTGCTACAAGATACACACATGCATCAATCACTTTCTGAAAAAACAAGATGAAAACACTCAGTGTTAGACAAGATACCTCTCTCGTGTAAAATGTCTGCTGTGTTGGATTCAAACTCTAATGCCTTAGTCAAGTCTTCGATAGCCTGACATAGGAAACTGTGGTCAGTGTCACATTTATGGGTTGTTACTTGTGTAAGAAAATCATAATATACAATCAGAAGTGACTCAAGTAAGGCCTTACAAGAAGCGCCAAAAAAACTCAATCATTCATAGTGCATGGTGCAATAACATGAATATATAACATTAAAAACCACACAACTCTGGACAACCACATTAGTTTAGTTTAGACCGAAATAAATAAAGGAGAACACTTGAATACAACTCCATTTGTATGGGTGGAACTGTTCCTTTATAAAAATTGACGTGCGCTTTTTGTTTAAAATTCAACAGTCTTTCCATTTTTAATCTAACCTCTTTGGTTACACCAAGAGTTGATTGAATGACGCGGGTCAGATGTATTGTAGGTCTGACTTTGAAGAAATAATACAAGAACGTATCATAACAAAAGAACAAAACCGGGTGCCTTAGGCAGTGTACCTAAGTTTTCTCCATAAAGAAGAGATTTCAATCCGTATCAAACTCATGCCTTAGTTAAAGAAACAGGCATACAAAAATAAAAACCAAAATTTTTTGCCATTTAGATTTTCTGCAATAAATTTGGTCCACTTCATTATTTGAGTGACCTAAAATAGTCAATTACTTAAACAACCACGGTGGGATTTCAATCAGAAATGGAATTTAGGTAAAACTTCAAAAAGTTACAGATACTAAGATAGAGTAAGCGCACTCACCTCAACGAACTCCCCCAAGGCTGCTCGGGCCTGACCTCTCCTCTTCCATGCCTCACCAGCTGATGGATTGAATTGTATAGCCTAAGGTTTACAACACAGAAACTACTTATAAATTGAGTGGGAAAAACATCAATAAGCACCATTCCAATATTTTGTGTAAATACCTTGGTAAAATCATCTATGGCAGAATGAAGTTCTCTCTTGAATGCAAATGCTGTCCCTCTTCCTATCAGTGCCTCAGGATATGCAGAGTCTTCTTTCAATATCTGAGTGTGTGATGGAGACAAGTCCACAGTTTGATATTTGATGATCAATAAAAAGAGGATACAAATTACATTAAAGGAAGTAAGGAACACGCCACAAGTATCACTATGGAAGAAAACACTGCACCTGGTCAAAAATGGATATAGCATGAGCATATTTCCCTTCGTTAACCTGCAAATAATCACAACATCAATCATTCAATTAAACAGATAAATACTGCAAATCAGCAGTTGCAGAAACAAACCTCTGCTATTCCCCGTGAAAGCCGAAAATCTACACTTATAGACTTCGTCTTTGAAACCCGAGCAGCAGAGAACTTTTTATTTTTCCTTGCTTCGCTACTTTTTTCACTGGGGAAAGTAAACTTAAAACTGGGCTTTTTAAGAATTTCAGGAGCATCGTTTGAGTCACTTGATTCGCCGCTATTAGTAAATACTTTATCACATGATTCTGAATTATCACTTGAGTCATTACACGACTCAGAGTTATAGCGCAAATTATCAATAACATCAGGGCTTCCATTCACTTGGCTATCACATTTATTAGACTCTCTACATTCACTATTTAGTTCATTCTTTGCATCAAATTTATCAGTAGACTTTAGCAAGATCTCAGATTTATCACTTGTATTGCCACATAGTTTAGCCTGGCTCTCACAAGTTTCAGTCAAGTTCCTATTACATGAAGAATCTGATTTGGCTTGCGCCATGGACGGTCCATTGGTTTCATATGATGCATTGTTACCTTGTTTTGCTTTCACCAAAAGCTCTTCAAGTTCTATCAACTGCTTCAAATCTGCAGATTGATGCTGAGCAAGTTCAAAGCCTTGCTCCCATACCACTAAAGCATCCGCTTTCCTTCCCAACGCAGAAAGCGCATGACCTGGATGACAGAACGAAAAACAGTATAAAATTCAAAAGCCACTGTCTATTTCAATGAGTTTTGTTATTTGAACATCAAAATACTGAGACCGTAAGTAACACCGTATATGTTTATCTCTATCTTATTTTGTACCCCCTCCGTTCAAAAAATGTATTTATTCCGGTGAAATCAAGTGCAAATTGCATTTAATTTGCCATCCCTCCCATTTTCTTTATAACTAATAACCAATTAAATTTGTTTATACATCTTCCTGTGAAACTTTTTCCAAGAACAAGTTATACTTCAAATTATTATGTTTTGGTCTTCTTAAAAAACCAAAGGACGTCAAAATTTTGATGTCAAAATATGATTTCCCATTTCAACAATGAAACTTTATAAAAAATTAAGTGAAGATAATTTATAAACAGCACCAATAACAACAACAACCAAGCTTTATCTCACTAAGTGGAGTCGGCTAAATGGATCAACTTCTGTCATAATGTTCTATCTAGGGTCATGTTTGTATCCAAATTGTTACTTTCGAGATCTTTTTAATAACTTTTTTTATAGTTTTTCTAGGTCTCCCTCTATCTCTAGCTATTTGACTCCTTTCCATTTAATCTACTCTCCTTACGGCGGAATCTACCACTCTTCTATCAACATGCTCAAACCACTGAAGTCTCTATTTTCCCGTAAACCAGCGTTAATAAACCAATTAGAAATTTTAAGCAAAAATCCAAACTCAAATCCAGTTATCATCCATCAATTATTCACACTAGAACTTAATACCACTTATCATGGTACTAACTACACATCAGATGTTTTTATACAAACAATTTGATAAAGTAGATAAAGTTGAATGAAATCAATAAACAGCTGATAAACCTTTCAGAATGTAAGCTTGAAGATGCAAGGAGTTAAGCTGAATCGCTCTATCGCAATCCTTAATCACATGCTTATGCAGTTCCAATTGGCTATAACAGAAGGCTCGGTTACTGAAAACAAGCACAAGAACAAAATTGAACAAAAAAATAGCATAGAATTAGCATAGACGAGACGAATTAACAACGATTGAAAAAAATTGAATCGGATTGAAATGAAGATTGCACCAGATATCTTGAACAGCACCAGACTGAGAAACGAGTGAATCGAGGATTCGAATTGCCTTGGACCAGTCCTTGGAGCTACATAGCTTGGCAAGCTCGGTTCGATGAGAGGTAACAAGAGCCATTGATGAGAACAGATCAGAATTTCGCGAGGGTTCAGATGTGAAGGATTTTGGGGATAGACTTTGAAGATGTAGAAGGTGAGGGTAAAATGGGGATAATGGGTTTAACAGGAAATTGAGGTGAAGGATCGAACGAGAGAATAAGGGTGGTGCGTGAAATGGAAATGGAATCCCCCTTCACGCGCTTAGAGCGTGGTTACACGTGCGATAAAAGGATGGTTCGGCCCAATGTTGGGTTTGGGTTTTACAAGAACCGGAGTTTCTTACGAACAAAAAACATGTAGAAATGAAGGGATAACGGTAATGTTTATAGATGCTTTTATTAGTAGGGAGTTTATTGATGGGATATCTGTTTCTTCCCAATTTGTAAGGATACTCGATGTCAGTAACAAATTATTAAAAAATGCAAAGGCAAATTATAAATGTGTTATGTTTTAGGAGATAAGGAAGGGATGAACTATTTTGGGAGCAAAGAATCAGAGAGTTATATTAAAATTTTAGGTAAACTGTTGTTTCAAAATCAGTTTCATTTTTAAGATTTAATTTTGATTAATAAAATTTTGAATTTTGACGGATTTAGTCCTTTGACGGATAAATTCGATTTTAATATTTATTAGATTAAATATATAAAAATGACTTTTTTATCAAATTTACAATATATTTTTTTAAACTATCAAGCGCAAACTATTTTCTTTACTATTAAAAAATTATTATCACAGTATAATATTTTTAATATTATTTTATATAATAATTTCATCATTATCATATTTTAAATCATAAATTGAATATTCAAAAATTTATATTATATATACAATATCATTATTAAATTATAAAAATTAAAATAATTTGACATCAGAATGAATCTCATTTTTATAATTAATCGGTTTTATAGTAATAAAAATAAATATTAGTTGAACTTGATTGAATTGAATTTTTTGTTGGTTTAAAATAAATATCTGGACAGCCATATTATTTAAATTTAACAACACAATCAATCTCACATTTAATCTAAGCCATCTATTTGAAAAATATATATACAATAGGAGACACAGTTTGATATTTATAAATAAAAAAAATGAGACATAGAAGTTGAGATCTTTATGTTTCCTCAAATCATTTTCTCTTTTCATTTAACTAACAACTCTTAGATTTTATATTCAAATTTAAGTAATAGTTTAACATATCATTTTTTTATGTTTAATTAAGATATACAAACTATAATTTTAAAGAGTTTAAAATATAAGTGTATAAAAATAAGTTAATCCAACAAATATTACTTGTTAAATCTATAATATTTTTAAAAGCTTTATAAAAAAAGTATTAAAAAAAATAGAGGGGATCTTAACCTCATTTTAAATAGAACCTAAAAAGGATATTATTTATCAAATTGTTAAGTTTGATGAGTCGTTTTTTGTTGTGAAATATTATCCCTCAAAATGTTAATATTTTATATCTAATTCAATTTTTTTTTTATTTTATCCAAATTAAAATAATGTAATTGTTTCGGGAACTAGAAATAGATAAAGATGGTATAAAACATGATTTTGATGTAGGAAAGTGAGTTTATGGTACGGCAGAGCGGGGATGGACCTGTAAGATTAGTATTATAATGTCTAGGTCGTTAAATGATTGAGAGAGTGGTTTGAGTGTGTCAATGAGAGAATATTTGAAATGACACGTGTTGTGCTTTATATGATCTGAACCAGGGGTGGCAAAATGGGTCGCTCATCCTACCCTACTCACCCTGCCTTAAGCCCGCAAAAAAAGGTGGGCGGACAAACGGAAATGGACATAAAATTCTAGCTTGCCCTGCCAAGGTGGCGGGCGGCGGGCCCGCCTATTTATTTATTTTATTTTTTTAATAGATTAATATGATTGTTTTTACATTTTAATTAGATTTTTCACTTATTTTTTAGAACAATTTGTATAAAGCATCTTTTTAACAAAGTTTACTTCAAAAAATATTGCATATATTCTCAAATAAATGTATAAAATAAAACCATCAAGAATTGGAATTACTAGAATTAACTAAAAAAATGTAGGTTTAAGGTGGGACAAACTGAACGAAGAGGTGCGGCAGGCTTTCGTGGGCGCCAGATTTTGGCGGGTGACGGTTTTTAGCGGGGCCAGCTTTGGTGGGACGGCGAGCCCAAAATCCCAACCCAACCTGCCATTTTCGGTGGGTGCGCGGGCCAGGCTGACGGACCACGACCCGTTTTTCCATCCTTAGTGTAACGGTTAAGACTGTTTCTTTGATATCTGACACCTCGTGCAGGTTGTCATCCAACAGATCCAACGGTGGAAAATGTGTTAGAGGTCGGAGTCATGTTTCCTTGGTTAGGGTGAGGTTTCATTTGTTTCACACGTCTTTCTGGGCAATGTTTGTTATTGGGTCCTTTCATTGTTGGCCTTGCGAGCTATCCAAAATAGTTTCCCCTAAGCCCTTGCTCCTACTCATAAAACGGGGGTTTCTCATGTGTGTCTTCAATCTAGCTTCTAGCAGAAGGAATTGGAAAAGCTTTGACGAGACATCGTTAATATTGAGAATATGTGCACTAAATATCTTCCTTGTGATTAACATCATTCCGCTATGGAGTCTCGGTGTGTGGTCATTGTTAGAACAAGATTTTGGTTCTGCATATAATCTCTAGTTTTGATAACAATACATATATTTTTTATGTAACAATTATGTACTCTAATGAATTTCTTAAAGTATGCAGTTGTTTAGTGAAAACTAATTATGGATAAATCTTAAGAATTTCAAATCAAAATCTCAGGCATATCTCAAAGAATCCATCTTATTTCCTTTTGAAGAAACATCAGTAGTTCTGATGAATGTTGAATGTCTTTAAAGATAAAGAAAGCGATAAGTGTTTCTAAGAAGAAGTTTTGCTTCCAGCTCTAATAAACTACTTTGATGACTCTGAAGATAAGGTTTTGTTGAACAAAATTCTGAAGATTTTAAAGACATCATTTCTGAATATCAAACTCTTAAGACCCTGAATACTAGGTTCTGCTAAACGTATTCTGAAGACTCAAATATCACTTATTATTTTATTCTTTGGTCTTACAAGATAAAAATATTCAAAAAAGATGGATAAGACAGAAACGTGTGATGGAAGTATTTGTTCGTGTAGACTTGCCTATATTAATATAAACTGATTTTTAGTCAGTATTGCTATATGGGATATGGTGAGACTTTGGTGCTATTATCTCTCACGGATCAAATGTTACTGTTGCAATAGTTGGGATTAAATGTTACGCTTATACCTCTAAAGGCTACAACGTCCAGCTATATAAAGAGATCACTTCTTCTTGCAAAAAACAGCGAACATACATACAAAAAGAAGTGAAATGCGCTCGGTCTATATTCATTTTCTATACACAAGATTTGTTGCTCATATTTGTGTAATCCCTTATACTTAAACTTTTGTTTCATCTGGTTTATAGAAGCAACATTGTAAACAAACTCTTTGTATCTTCATTGATATTGATTTCCTCAAGTGACTAAGTGTTAGTCTGTAGACTTGAGAGGGTTAAGGTGTTTTTCTAAACACTTAAACAAACTTGTTGTAATCTGTCTAAAATATTGTATTAAGTCCTTGTTGAAGGCAAAATCACCTTGGCGGGTGGACTGGAGTAACTTCGTTAACAGTGAATCGGGATAAAAATATTGGGGTTTATTTGTACATTCTTTCTTGTTAACCCTTTGTGTTAAAAGTTTTCCAACAACCAAAGTTTTGTTTAAAAACCCAATGCAAACCCCACTTCTTGAGTTTTTCTCTACCTTCATCCATGTGTTAGGCGACAATGATGTCTTTTTATACTAGGGTATTTGATCGTTCTGAACAGTCTGGGATAAGATCTTGACCATTAGTGGCACGATTGACACTTCCTAATATCTACTATTGTGGATCATGATGTCATCTTCGTTAGAGGATATATGAGGAATCTTAGGGCTACCATTTCCCATTTCGTCACTCATGAATCTTTAGAGCTGCTCTTATGTGTTCATAATTTCCTCCTTCTTTGTTAATGTCTTCTTATTATCAATCATTGGACACATTTGTGTCACCTCTTTTGGCGGAGCATACAACATATAAGTCATCAAGTTCATCTTTTTCAAGGTAACATATTAAATCCTTGATTTCCTTATATATTTGTTTGCTTATGGTTTTTATAAAAGAGAGTTATGGATGGTTTGAAGGAGAAAATCTCCATTGATGATGAACGTTGGGTGGTGATATCTACTTCAAAAACATGTTAGGGTTTTTATTCCTTCTTGTCGTGGGCTTGGCGAAATCTCTCTCTATAGATGACTTTTGACAGGGATGCAAAGCTTAAATTTATATTGACTTTGTGCTTCCACTTATGGTTGTTTTTCTTTATATGTTGGCAGTCATTCGAAAATAGACAACTCTCACCTAGGAGCTCAGAACGCGATAAAAAACAACTTAATTGTGTGGGTAGATCAAGAGACATTGGATATTGTTTCTTCCTTCACTGGTAAGCGTGGTTTGGGTCATGTTTTCACTGAGGTGGGTTCTTCTTTAAGATGATATGTAGCAAGTATGATGATTCTATCACCACCAAGGGAAGCTCTTATAGAGGGGGCTCGACCACTCTAGAACGAGAGAACATGAAAGACATGAGAAAGGATTTCTTGGCAATTGATGAATGTTAAGGCGGTGAGCCTCATTTAGTTTAGAATGTTTGTTGCTTTATTTTTTATGTGAGTTGTATTCTCTGTTATTTTTTAGGGATAATAACATTTTTACATTCACGGGGCACTATTTTTCTTTGTTGTTAAAGTAGCACACATTTTTTAATGAAACCCTCATTCCATTTATACAAGTGTTAGATTATTGTTAAATCACTTACAAGATGTTAACGAGCAAGAAAATCTTATTGAGAAAGTGTTTTAAGGCTATTAAATATGTCGGATCCTTGTGTAGAAATCTTTGTCGCCTTTTAAGGCTATTAAATATATTGGATCCCTATGT